TTTTTGGTATTTGTATATAAAATAATATGTCATAATAAATAATTTTAGTTGCTGAGGAAGTCTCAAATAGAGACGAAACGTTCAACGGATAAATATAGTGTTCATCTTAATTAAACCCGTCCAAAAAACAACCTCCCTAAGAGTAAACTTAGTAATAATATTAATAAAATTTTGGATAAGAAAAAAATCTTGATTATATTAACATAAGTGTTAATATTCTTTATTATGACGAGTTTACTCGTTTAAAATATTACAATATGAAATAAAACGAAAAAATATAAATAATTATTATGAAAAGTTTTTTCTACAAGTATTCTTTTGTAAAGATTGTTTAGTTAGGTACATATTGAATATAACTAACATATACATAGAACTATTGAAGTACTGTCTTTTTTATTGCATTCACGTATAATACATATGTTTCACGCTTCTCCAAACATACAGATAAAAGCAACAACCTTAACGTCCTTGATGCATACTAATTTCAACTATCATAAGCATGAAACTTATCAGTATAGCACGTTGCCTGCTATATCGTTACCCGAATGTATATTCATTACAATTATAGATAATTTTTCAACTTAACATATTTCAATCGTGCATAAAGTAATACAGAAAATATTTATTTCTTTTTTATACATTTATAAGAAAAATTTATTTATGATGAATGATTTATACGCGTATATTTATTTTTATACACACAAGGAAAATGTTTTAGATAATTCTATTATCTTTAATCACGATATGAAGATTGATGTAGTTCTTAATACTATTCTTTTAATAATCACAGTACAAAAGTTGCTTCTTTAAATATTCGTAAAAATAAATTCTTCCAATTTTCCGTATATGGTATGTACCGGTTCGTAACGACTTTTAAACAGTTAAAGAACTGTAAATTTGAATACCTAAAAGAGCGTAGGCGAGCCGATTTTTACGCATTCATGAATTCAAATATTTATTTTTCCTATTTTTTTTTTTTTTTAATTTTTAAAGCAACTACATATTTAATTCTTACAAGGGTTCCATACGACTTTGTCAACACCAATTATTTTAAAACTCTACACAGTTGTTATATATTTTTATGTATATTTTTACAGATGACAGTAATTCATTTGGCGATAATTTGTTTCAAAGCCTAAGTTCTGAATTAGGGATACCTCTTTTATCTGATGACATATTTAATGACATACCTTATTATCCGAACTACAATAAAGATGTAGAAAGAAATATAGAATCTACTTCTAAAATTTTAGAGGACTTCAACTCGTGTTTCGTCAAAAAAGAGAAAGGTATTTTCATGAAATAAATTTAATCTTAAATAAGAAGAAATGACATATTTTTTATTATTAATTATATTTTTAGATTCAGAAACAAATGAAGGAATTACTGAATGTAAATTGGAACCATTAAGTCCTCATACACATTTACTTCCCTTTTCTAGTCCAAGTCATTCAGAATCAAGTGGATCTGAATGGCAACAGGATTTTTTATCTAATCTTTCATCAACAGATTTAAAGGTATTTAAATAAATTTTATATTTTATTCGAAATTTTTTATATGATTTAAAATTTTATATATATTATTCTATTTACACATAATATATGTCTTTATATATTTGTTAGGTCGCATTAGAAACACCACCTATTTCACCACCATATATTTCTTCTCCAAAATCGCCTCTAACTGAAACACCTTCAACTTTCGTTCAACCAGTAAAATTGATACCTATTAATACGCAAGAAATAAAAAATACAAAGTATAAAGTCGCCGGTGACAATTCTGCAAAACGTGTTTATATTCAACCAAAGGGTAGTACCCAAGTTACATCACGAGGTGATGGTAAGAATATAAATAATTAATCCACACCTTTCTCTAACGGGGTCTTGGAAGACTTGTGTATTTTGGCGATTGATTATTTGCGTGTGGTAGTAACAAAGTATTCGTTGCTCCCAGGTATTGAGCAGGGGAGGGATAGCAGATTTTAGAATTTCGAGTGGTAAGTGGGAGGGCTTGTAAGTATGCATTAATGGAATATCTGCGCGAGTCTCGATAAATGCTGTCTTATGTTAGGTGGGGATTAATCGTAATCCGAGGGTTAAAACTTATAAAGCTCGGAATTACAAATTTACATTTATGTATTCAGTTTTTCATATATATCTAATACTCGTATGTGATTATAATTTTTACAGAACCACCTCAAAAAACTATAATATTAAGTGCTCAAGATTTTGCTGTTTTAGCACAAAAAGCAAAACAAAATCAAACATATCCTTTAAAAATAGAGCCATTATCATTAAAAAAACCTATTAAAATACGTGGGCCAATAAATTTGAAATCTACGTCATTAAATAATATAAAAACAGAAAATAATGGAATTAAATTGCAGCAGCAAAATAATATAAAAATGATGAATACATTACCTAATCTTCATGCATCGAACGGAGAATCCGTAGTTAATGTATCCAATGCTTCTGTAATTGTTAAAAATAAAACTGGTAATCATACCTCTATTATTGTGAAAAATGAACCAGTGGGCTGTGAATCAATTGTTGTAAAAAACGAGACATCCAATTGTACTCCTATTGTTATCAAAAATGAAATGCCAGAGTTTAATAATTTCTCCGGTAAGCAAGAATGTGAAATGAAAGCTTTAAAGAGACAACAAAGAATGATAAAAAATCGAGAATCTGCTTGCCTTTCACGAAAGAAAAAAAAAGAATATGTTTGTTCTTTGGAGAAACAAATAAATGAGCTTCAAGAGGAGAATAACAAACTTAAAACTGTAAGAATGATTGACTGGCCTTTATTATATATTATTATTACATTTTACTATGAATATATAATTTTTGTCTTCAAGAAGTAATATCAATGGTACCGTAATAATAATTTATTTGTTAATTCTTAATAGGAAAACTTAGTTTTGAAAAATAGGCTATCAGCATTTGAAGAAAACAACAAATTTGGAAACGTTAATCTTAATGTAAATAAGAAAAATGCTGTTCTCCTTTTGGGAATAATTTTGATGGTGTCATTTAATTTTAACGGTCTAGTGTAAGTATTTACATATAACACTTAAATGTTTTAAATTTAAAGTAGTTTCACCGCTACAGGCCATATCTAATCAGGGGAATTTCTATGTTTATACCAAAGTTTGTTTAACGTATGTTAAATACTACGTTTTTTTTCAGTCGAAAGTTTACGAAACATTAAATGAATCTATCTTTAACTTTAATTAAGCCAATTCACATTAAATGATAAATTTTGAAATCATAATATGTATATATATATATATATATATATATATCTATATATATATATATCTATATATATTGCATTATACAATATTAGACTGCATAATTACCTTTACTTGTAGAGGTATATTTCCACCCAGCAAGAAGTTAAATAGTATGTCAACAGACATACCAACAGTTCTGCCAAATGTCAGACATGGTAGAAGTTTACTATGGGCAAATCCTGATACACGTATTGACGAAGAACTTGGAGATGATTATGACAAAAATAAGACAATGCATCATCCTATGTGTCCTATGTATATCAATCAGAGTGAATCAATACGTTTAGATTACGAGTTACGACGATGGATCGGTGGAGAGTCTGATCGTGATAACTGGACAACATCAACAAAGACAGAATTAAATAAAAATTTATTAGGAAAAGTTCTCTTACCAAAATCATCTATAGAAAAAAAAGCAGTTTATGACAGAAATCGTTATTCAAGAAAAATCAAATCAAAAGATATGCATAAGATTAACAATATTCATACATCAAATGCTAATGCAGTTGAAGTATTTTCTCCTATCCTTAGAGAACATGCTTCTTTATTCGAAGCATTAGGAAGAAAGGATGATACTTTCTATGTTGTATGGTTCAGCGGTGAGCACCTATTACTACCAGCTTCAAGAAAAAATAACACATCTAGACCAAAAATGGCATTGGTCCTTCCTGCTGTTCCTTTGAATGGTAACTATTTAGTTTTCTTTCTATTTATTTTCTTTTGTTTATATATATATATATATCCAGAAAATGAATGAAAAAAGTAGCTAATTAACTAAAATGATGCTTTTTTTTAGAAACTTATTCAACTCCTGCAAATCACATTACCATGATGCAAATTGATTGTGAAGTAACAAATACTCAATTATTACATTTACAACAATCTGTCATACCTTTTCATTTGCGTAAAAGTAATAAATCAGGAAATAGCACCAATCAGGACCAAACTGCTAATGGTGTGTCGGATGCAACAACAGTAAATATATCTAGAACACACAAACCTTATTTTATAAAAGAAAATGATCCTTATGTATTGAATACAAAAAATTCGAGGGAAACTTATACTCAAAGATCTAAAGAACATTATCACAACAAAGACACGACTCTTCTTTTAAAAGAAAAATTTATTACTGGATTTCGTTTAGAAAATGTAAAGAATAATAATTAAGAAATTATTGAAAATAGAAATGAAAAAAAAAACAAAAACAAATATCTTTTAATTACAAAATATTTGATATGATCAACATTAATCTTCGTACTAATGATTATCATATACTATCTTATATTCATTTATACACCATACGTGATAACACAATTGCATGTGTTTCGATATATCACATGATAAAAATTAGTGCAATTTTCTGCACAAATATGAATAACTAACTGTTCTAAAAAATTATAGAAAGAAAATGCATAATATATGGAATGCAATATTAAGGCATCCCAAAAGTTTTTTACTCTATATTCACGAACTTTACTTTGTATGACAACCTTTATGAGTGTTCAGACAGTTCGTATGTACTTTAAAAAGTTCAAAATTTTATAAGTTGATTATGCAATATGTAACTTATAAGGAGAATCCCATGTCATAATGAAATTTAGTGTGTGTGCTCGTACTACTCTTTATACAACCATAGTAAAAAATCTCACCCTATTTATCAAAATTCGCGAAAAAAAGAACAGTTTAAACTTTCATTTTCATGGTATGCACTGGCTTGTAACATTTCAACAAATAAGAAAGATAGTCGAGCGCGTATGCTGCAGTGCTAAACTTTGGAGCTTGTTTAGGTTCCAATTTTTACTTTTTGTTATTTTCTTTTAAGAAATTAAAAAAGAGAGAAAGTATATATTTAATTATAAGTTATTTATAATAATATAATTTTAGTTTGTTTTATTTATTTTTCATTATATATATATATACTTAGAAAGATTTATTTGTTACATTTATTTTGTAAGTAGCTACGCTTTTTATTTATTTACATGTTTTTACAAACCAATACATATCGTACACGGAAAGTTTAAACTATTTTTTTGTGGATACTTGGCCATAGGAAAAAGATTTTTATGCTGTAATTATTAGAAAAGTACTAATATATAAATCAATTCTCATAATTGAAGAGAACAGAATGAATATCTCCCATGGGTTCCTCCCCTTGTTAGTAAGAAAAGTAAGAAACTTTTGAGACGTCCTAATTTAATATAATAGAATATATGTTGCACCGCTGCACTCTTACAAAAACTTGCATTACTTAATAATAGAATTTATTAATTATTAATAGAATATTTAATAATAGAGTATATATATAAAAGAATAT